GTGTGTGTGTTAGGTGTGTGTGTTAGTTGTGTGTGTGTGTTAGGTGTGTGTGAGGTTAGGTGTGTGGTGTTAGGTGTGTGTGAGTGTTAGGTGTGTGTGTGTTAGTGTGTGAGTGTTAGGTGTGTGTGAGTGTTAGGTGTGTGTGAGTGTTAGGTGTGTGTAGGTTGTGTGTGTGTTAGGTGTGTGTGAGTGTTAGGTGTGTGTGTGTGTTAGGTGTGTGTGAGTGTTAGGTGTGTGTGTGTGTTAGGTGTGTGTGAGTGTTAGGTGTGTGAGTGTTAGGTGTGTGTGAGTGTTAGGTGTGTGTGGTGTTAGGTGTGTGTGAGTGTTAGGTGTGTGTGAGTGTTAGGTGTGTGAGTGTTAGGTGTGTGTGAGTGTTAGGTGTGTGTGAGTGTTAGGTGTGTGTGAGTGTTAGGTGTGTGTGTTAGGTGTGTGAGTGTTAGGTGTGTGTGTGTTAGGTGTGTGTGAGTGTTAGGTGTGTGAGTGTTAGGTGTGTGTGAGTGTTAGGTGTGTGTGTGTGTTAGGTGTGTGTGAGTGTTAGGTGTGTGTGTAGTGTTAGGTGTGTGTGAGTGTTAGGTGTGGTGAGTGTTAGGTGTGTGTGAGTGTTAGGTGTGTGTAGGTGTGTGTGTGTGTAGGTGTGTGTGAGTGTTAGGTGTGTGTGTGTTTAGGTGTGTGTGAGTGTTAGGTGTGTGTGTGTGTTAGGTGTGAGTGTTAGGTGTGTGTGAGTGTTAGGTGTGTGTGAGTGTTAGGTGTGTGTGTGTGTGTTAGGTGTGTGTGAGTGTTAGGTGTGTGTGTGTGTTAGGTGTGTGTGAGTGTTAGGTGTGTGTGTGTGTTAGGTGTGTGGTGAGTGTTAGGTGTGTGAGTGTTAGGTGTGTGTGAGTGGTTAGGTGTGTGTGAGTGTTAGGTGTGTGTGAGTGTTAGGTGTGTGTGAGTGTTAGGGTGGTGTGTGTGTTAGGTGTGTTGAGTGTTAGTGTGTGGAGTGTTAGGTGTGTGTGAGTGTTAGTGTGTGTGAGTGTTAGGGTGTGTTGGTAGGTGTGTGTGTAGTGTTAGGGTGTGTGTGATGTTAGGTGTGTGTGAGGTAGGTGTGGTGTGTGTTAGTGTGTGTGAGTGTTAGGTGTGTGTGATGTGTTAGGTGTGTGTGAGTGTTAGTGTGTGTGAGTGTTAGGTGTGTGTGTGTGTTAGGTGTGTGTGATGTTAGGTGTTGTGTGTGTTAGGTGTGTGTGAGTGTTAGGTGTGTGGTGAGTGTTAGGTGTGTGAGGTGTGTTAGGTGTGTGTGAGTGTTAGGTGTGTGTGAGTGTTAGGTGTGTGTGAGTGGTTAGGTGTGTGGAGTGGTAGGTGTGATGTGTGTGTTAGGTGTGTGTGAGTGTTAGGTGTGTGTGAGTGTTAGGTGTGTGTGAGTTGTAGGTTGTGTGAGTGTTAGGTTGTGTGTGTGGTTAGGTGTGTGTGAGTGTGTAGGTGTGTGTGTGTGTTAGGTGTGGTGTGAGTGTTAGGTGTGTGAGTGTAGTGTGGTATAGGTTAGGTGTGTGTGAGTGTTAGGTGTGTGAGTTGGTGTGTGTGTGTTAGGTGTGTGTGAGTGTTAGGTGTGTGTGAGTGTTAGGTGTGTGTGAGTGTTAGGTGTGTGTGAGTGTTAGGTGTGTGAGTGTTAGGTGTTGTGTGTGTTAGGTGTGTGAGTGTTAGGTGTGTGTGAGTGTTAGGTGTGTGTGAGTGTTAGGTGTGTGTGAGTGTTAGTGTGTGTGAGTGTTGGTGTGTGTGTGTTAGGTGTGTGTGTGTGTTAGGTGTGTGTGAGTGTTAGGTGTGTGTTAGGTGTGTGTGTGAGTGTTAGGTGTGTGAGTTTAGGGGTGTGTGAGTGTTAGGTGTGTGTGAGTGTTAGGTGTGTGTGTGTTAGGTGTGTGTGTGTGTTAGGTGGGTGTGAGTGTTAGGTGTGTGTGAGTGTTAGGTGTGTGTGAGTGTTAGGTGTGTGAGTGTTAGGTGTGAGTGAGTGTTAGGTGTGTGTGAGTGTTAGGTGTGTGTGAGTGTTAGGTGTGTGAGTGTTAGGTGTGTGTGAGTGTTAGGTGTGTGTGTGTGTGAGTGTTAGGTGTGTGTGAGTGTTAGGTGTGTGTGAGTGTTAGGTGTGTGTGTGTGTTAGGTGTGTGTGAGTGTTAGGTGTGTGTGAGTGTTAGGTGTGAGTGAGTGTTAGGTGTGAGTGTTAGGTGTGTGTGAGTGTTAGGTGTGTGTGTTAGGTGTGTGAGTGTTAGGTGTGTGTGAGTGTTAGGTGTGTGTGAGTGTTAGGTGTGAGTGAGTGTTAGGTGTGTGTGAGTGTTAGGTGTGTGTGAGTGTTAGGTGTGTGTGAGTGTTAGGTGTGTGTGAGTGTTAGGTGTGTGTGAGTGTTAGGTGTGTGTGAGTGTTAGGTGTGAGTGAGTGTTAGGTGTGAGTGAGTGTTAGGTGTGTGTGAGTGTTAGGTGTGTGTGAGTGTTAGGTGTGTGTAGGTGTGTGAGTGTGTAGGTGTGTGTGTGTGTAGGTGTGTGTTTAGGTGTGTGTGAGTGTTAGGTACTTTGTTGTTTGCGATCCAGAACAGAACATCCCGGTTGACACATATGGAGGCATCATTACCACACGGCGATTCGCTCAGCTACCCCCGACGCAAACATCTGCGCTCAATCCACCACAGCGTCAAAGTGATACTCGCCTGTGCTCCGTCAATATCAACCCGTGTAAGGCAAATAAAATATTTCTATCGCGCCACGTTGGATTAAAAAACACACCGTCAGAAAAGATCGTGTTAACGGTTCAAAGAGAGTTTTTTTTATTGTCAAAACTTGTTTAAACAAATCAATACTGTAGCTATTCCAGGGAATTGCACATTCGAATTGAACGTTCCCATGCGCTGTATGCACCTGGTACCAGTTTACATGAAAGGCAGCGATTGCTACAAAATATAAAGCACATTGCAAAACGTACAGGTGGTTTTGGGCTCCGTATGCAAACTCAAACATTGGATATATTTTTTCCGAGTGGTTTATCCAGAAAAACAATTCCTCAAATTGTACTTTAAAGGTTTTTGGCTTTTAATCAAAGCTCAATAATATCACAGCCCTTTTTCAATCCACTCCAAGATGAAGGCAGTGAGTGACCAGACGGGTACTTCACCAGTGGTCAGCGCCCAAACAATCAGCAGTTCGGATGTCACCCTCAAACTCGGGTTTCTGAATCCACAGCACAATCACGTTCCTTCACAGTGGCCAGCTAGGAACTTGGTTGGGCAGAAAGCTCGCGGTCACGTGACGCACTTCAACCAATCCGCGAGCGTGCTACACGGTGGGAGGGGCTATGCACGACAGACAAATAATCCCTGGTGGGCAGTGGGGAACTGTTGTTCCTACCTGTAACAAAAAATTAACCCGTAAAAACAAAGTTTTTCACTATAAATCCTTTATATGCGTGGCGGCTAGAGTCCTCTCGTCCTCTGGCTTGAGATGGCTGCCACCTATGGGTCAGATGATTGCCTGCCACCATTAAGCATTTGGTAATTAAATATTTATAAAAAAAATTCCCTAAAAAGTGTAAAATTTTGGAAAAAAATTTTCACGAACATTAATTGTCTCGCACAACAAGTCTGTGTGCAAAATGTCAGCTCGATTGGATCACGGGAAGTGGGTTAAAAAACGACCAAAACATTTGCACGGTCCTAAGCAAGCAAGCAAGTGAACTTAATATAAAGGATTTAAAAAAAACCCACTGCATATATACGCTTAAGACAGTTCCATGAACATGAAGTGTAGACAGGTGTTGTTCTCTCTACATCTGCTACCAGCAGCAAAGTCTATAAAACTTTGCAGAATGGAACATGTCACAAATCAACTTTATTTAGGCATTTTTGGGGTTTTTATCAAGTAGGTTATAGCAGACAGACCCCGTACAACAATCTCCTGGAGTATGAGAACATCTGATTTTGCAAAAACCTTCCCACTTCGTGTTCATCCTTCCCAAAGATGCAAATTTGAAACGATCTTTTAACAGTCGAGCAAATGCAACACAACAAAAAAGCACATGGCTCTGAACATGGCTATCTCCTCTGCATGGAAACAAAACGTGTTGTATATTTCAACTCCAGATGACTTAAACGGCACGTTTTATCTTTATACGTGACTTTACCGAAAAAACCAAAGAATATTTCCTGCAGTCACGAAAGCTCCAAAATTAAGTAGGAACAAAACTGACAAGTCATTCACTTCTTTCTTGGAAGAGACAAGTTCCTGCCTTGGGTAGTAAAGCCAAGATGCTGCTTTATATTTATTGACTGCATTCTGTAAAAAAAAAACTATGCAAGCAAGCTCAAAGGAATTTCGATTTAAAGCTTTCGTGACTGCAGGGATTCATCTTCTTGGTTCTTTCGGTAAAGTCACGTAGAATGGAAATAAAATAATAATAAATAAAAACAGACTCTGTTTTCTCGACAGACCTGTTCTTCACCTGAGGACGGCTGCTTGCGTTCTGGCCGAAACGTCGTTCTTTCGGTAAAGTCACGTAGAAGGGAAATAATAAAATAATACATCATAAAATAATTCTCACGACGTTTCGGCCACAACGCAAGCAGCCGTTCTCAGGTGGAGAACAGGGCTGTCGACCGTGACTTTACTGAAAGAACCAAGAAGATGAATCCCTGCAGTCACGAAAGCTTTAAATCAAAAGACACCAGCTTATTTACCCCAAGGGCTTTTCATACAAAGTGCATCCCACGGCCCACACAACCTCCCACCATCATCCATCTATCACCCCCCTCCTCTCCTCACTCCAGCCCCTCTTCTTCTTCTTCGATGTCAGAGCATGAAGACAATTTTGGCATCTTGCTCCTGGGCACCTCCAGGCTGCTACTGCCTCCCCAGCTGCCAGCACGAGGAAGGGCAACGGCTTGGCGAGCGTACGCTCGCAAATTGTATTTGGCAATGCTGCTTTTGCGATACCGATTGCCGACAGAGGACAGATTCCTGCCAGAGGGCCGCAGCGCTGGGAACACTTTGGCACGGATGCCGTCCTTGGTGTCGATGCCGTCATCGTCGTCGTCTTCGGAGCTGAGGTGGACTGTCTCTTCACTGGACGAGCGCTGCAGCGTCGTCTCGCTGGAGATCGTGGTCGACACGCGATGCTCTTCGATTCCACTCAGCAGCAGTCGCTTTTTGGCTTCTGGGACTCCCAGTTCATCCAAGTCCTAAAATCCAGCGAAACACAGAAAATATGCACACACACACACACCAACTTGTCTTCTTGGTTCTTTCGGTAAAGTCACGTAGAAGGGAAGTAATAAAATAATAAAAATAAAACATAATAAAAGTAATAAAATAATAAAAATAAAACATAATAAAATTTTATTATGTTTTATTTTTATTATTTTATTACTTCCCTTCTACGTGACTTTACCGAAAGAACCAAGAAGATGAATCCCTGCAGTCACGAAAGCTTTAAATCGACACCAACTTGTGTTCAGCGATACAACATTGATAATTGGTTTTTTACCCTTCTATCTGGCAACAAAACTGACACCTTTTTACAAGGAGTCATGTTTGTATAGACCGCAATACCTTGCAGTCATAATGCAAACAAAAGACATAACTCTGATAATGTGCACTGTCCCTGAAGTTGATTGGTCCACACCCGAGACAAGTATTGCGGTCTATACAAACATGCCTCCTTGTAAAAAGGTGTCAGTTTTGTTGCCAGATAGAAGGGTAAAAAAACAATTATGATATTTTTACTGGCAAATGAGGTTCCCATAGTGTACGATACAACATTCTTCAAATTTCTGACGACGTGTATTCCTCAGAGCAATTAATGTACAAAATCAGTCGGTATTACCGGTAGGAACCACCTGGTTCCACCAGCCCACAGGGGATTATTGTGTCTGTCCGTCGTGCATCCAAAATGGGAGGGGTGGGGCTGGGTGGGGAGGGGAGGGTGGGGAGGGGAGGGGCTGGGTGGGGAGGGTGTGGTGGGGAGGGGCTGGGTGGGGTGGGTGGGGCTGGGTGGGGAGGGGAGGGGCTGGGTGGGAGGGGCTGGGGGGGAGGGTGGGGAGGGGCTGGGTGGGGAGGGTGGGGAGGGGCTGGGTGGGGAGGGTGGGGAGGGGCTGGGTGGAGAGGGTGGGGAGGGGCTGGGTGGGGAGGGGAGGGGAGGATGGGGAGGGGCTGGTCACCCCGTGGTGCCCTTATAAAACTCAACGTTTCACCTACTCACGCCGGCTTGTGCCCGCCCTCACAGTTGGCCATTGACCGAGCAACCCAACGTTCCTACCCGCTCCCTCCGCAGGAGGAATGTGTTTGTTTTGTACCCACTACTGGATCAGGACTCCTCAGCCTCCTCACTCGAGCTATGTGACCACGATCCATCTATCAACTACACACGAACTAATCTTCTCACAACTCGAATCTCTGTGGTGGTCATCTTGGTGATGTGTGCTCTACTTTGGATGCCACTCCAACACCGGTCTTGTTTCCCAGCCACAATGCAGTCCAGTGATGTGCCCTTGCCCAAGCCCATCTACTTTTTTGCAGTTGTCAATGTTTCTTATTTGCATGTTTCGGTATCCACGTGTAATGGGTTCCGAAGACACTTGTAGAGGTAACTTCTTTATTACAATACAACACTCCAACAGTCCTGATACTCTGTTACAGCCTAGGTACACAGCCTAGGTACACAGCCTAGGTACACAGCCTAGGTAGACAGTCTAGGTACACAGCCTAGCGACACAGCCTAGGTACACAGCCTAGCGACACAGCCTAGGTACACAGCCTAGATACACAGCCTAGGTAGACAGCCTAGGTACACTGCCTAGGTACACTACTCTGGCTATGCTCTGGGGTCCTCCGGCTACAATCCCCCTAGGGGAGGCTACCTGACCGACCCAGCCAAGGTGCGGGTCTGGACCTCTGGCTTCCCTCGGAACTCGCCTCACAAGGCCGTAGAGCCGGGAGTCCCAGAGTACCACCACTGGCCCTCACAGCGTCCGGCCCTTACAAAGGACAAGCGGTGACGAGGGGGTACAGGGTCCGAAGCTGGCTGGCTGCGGGTCTTGACCTGCGACTGGCCCTGATCGGCCAGGGAGCTGCCCTTTTATGCCTCGTGCCCAACGAGGGGTGGGGTTGTGTGCGCCCCCAGGTATCCCACAGAGCACACACAGCCCCCCCCCCTGGTGGCACCAAGGGGCTTAGCTGTCTGGGGGCCTGGGATCCTAGCGCCTGCCGCCAAGGGCTTCTCTGCCTAGGGTCCCAGAGCCCCCTCTTGTGGCACTACAATCCTCACTACTCACCACTCACCCTCACCACTCACCCTCACCACTCAGCACTCACGCTCACCCCTCTCCCTCACCACTCACCCCTCTCCCTCACCACTCACGCTCACCACTCACCCTCACCACTCACCCTCACCACTCACCCTCACCTACACACGCATTAACTCTTTACAAGTTTAATTCCAACCTTCCATCTTCTCCAAGCTTCTTTGTGCATTTTTTTATGTTGCAGAAAAACTTAGAAATAAATCCCAATCCTGTATTCGTTAAAAAACACGCGTAGTTTGCGTGAAAGCGTCCGTAGGAACTTGCCTGCAGAGTGACGTTCATCAGCTGTTGGACACTCGACAATCCACGTGAAGTGAAATTCTCCAAAAACTCCAAGCAGTCTATTTGTTTCAGGAAGCTTGAGACACAAAAACAACACACACACAAGGCTCCAAAATGTTAATACCAAATACAAGAAGCACGAAAAGTACTTTGTACGGCTGAATTACATTACTTGCACATTTTTACTCCGTAAACATTGCGATTAGAAATAACATGTGAAGCAACACTTACATTGCTTGTACTGTATATCCCTATGGAAATAATGACTT